CAATGGACGCAGTTTGTTTTTTTACCGCGCGTTTCTCCACGATCAGCTGGTGACCCAGATACGCGCATACGGGCGAAGTGCCGTCTCTCTGGTAGAGCGCCTATTCTAATACATGTACTATTTATCATTTATGGCTGCACAAGAGTTAGGATTTTAAAATCACTAGACGATATGCCTATGCCAAGAGCTGTGAAAACTTCTTAAACAGATTACGTTCAAGTCTGATAAGTTGGAGATTTAACGTCGATTCCCTTGGTAAATAATCAGATGACATTGCTACGATCGCCAAGAAGAAGTGTTGAGAGCGAGAGAAAGACAATGAGAGAAAGACAATTATAGATAGATAGACAGATATATAGGTAGGTAGGTAGGTAGGTGGGTAGGTAGGTAGGTAGGTAGGTAGGTAGGTAGGTAGGTAGGTAGGTAGGTAGGTAGGTAGGTAGACAGGTAAATAGTGAGACGTAGGTAGGTAGGTATACAGGTAAATAGAGAGAGAGAGCGAGAGCGAGAGAGAGAGAGAGAGAGAGAGAGAGAGAGAGAGTGAGAGAGAGAGAGTGAGAGAGAGAAAGAGAGAGAGAGAGAGAGAGAGAGAGAGAGAGAGGAAGATATGAGAGGGGAAGATATGAGAGGGAGATGAGAAAGACAGGGGCAGGGAGGACAGAGATGGGCATGGAGAAATAGAAACAGCATAACGTTAAAAAATACAAACATACTTTGCATTTACTATAATTCACTGAGAGACAGCACATGAATGGCCTCATTTCAACAAGGAAATAATGATAAGGACAATAAAGCAGCCAAGAAAAAACGGAAAACACGCAGACCACAAGACATAATAATCCACAACTACAAATCAAATAGCAAACGGAAGTCACGTCAGAGCCAAGACACAAAGCGGGAACTAAATGGGGGAAAGGAAATACACAGGAGTGCAACAGGCGAGCGAGGAGGACCTAAAAACTAAAAATCCTCTTATCGTTGTTGAAGGTGATGGTGGTGGTGGTGATATTTGGGTTGATTTGGTGGCGGTAGTGAGCAGTGGTTTACGGCAAATCCGACAACTAAAGGCCACAATGAACCATTGACAGATCGGTATCATTGAAGTACGGGGTAAAATAACTAAATGTCCACTAAGAAACAAGCATCAAAACGTATAGATGAATGTAAACAAAAATATAACAGACAACAAAACAAAACAAAAATTGCAAAAGCCATAAGGTTACGGTAGTAGGGCAATAAGGAGAGGGGGGAGGGGGGGGGGGAGGGAGGGGGGTAGACGAATACACTATGTTATGTAATTCTCGAACAAAATCAATAACTACAGGGCCATTTCAAAGAGACCGACCGCCAAACCTGTTTGTCAGTACCAGAGTGCAACTCTTATTAGAACGTCCAAGGAGAGTTACTTTCAAACAACAAAAGAGTTGCTCTTCTTCCAGGCCGTATAAGGTAAGATAATATAATACTTTATTACCCCAAAAGGAAATTTTTCTTGGCTGTACAAGACCGAAAAAACACAAGCAGGTATAGATCTAGATCTACATTATATATTACACTCATTAAAAATCTGATATGAAAAAAGAGATAAAGCTGACAAATTGTACACTATCACATCAGATGCATCATTCAACCACATGCAGGAATTCAATTGCAAGACCTTTAGAGTTATATAGATACATACTCGAAAGAGCAATACAAATTGATGCTTATTATGACAACAGCCTTATGCTGGATGGTAAAAAACTTCTTATATATTTTTTGTTTTGTTTTGTTTTTAGAGGTACATATCTGCCGATGCGCGCGATTTAACAATTTACGTGAAAAGGGGGTGCGATGGATCGTTTATAATGCTTTTTATCCTTGTTATACTTGTGATGCTATACATTTCATCAATTCTAGTAAAATCATATCCAGAGATCTTGCTGGATTTCTTAATGGTTCTGTCGAATTTTTCTTTATCTTTCACCCGACAATTCCCAGCTAAAACAAATAGCACACTTTCAATCATAGAATGGTATAAAAGGGACATAATCGTATTATCGACTTCTTAATTTTCTTTAAAGGAACATTCTTTGATTTACTTTTTGATGCACAAGAGCAGCGTGGGGATGCCAGTCAAGCTTGATATCAATAATTGTTATTCCAAGATACATAGATACATGTACTTGTAAGAGTTACCACCCCCACCTCCTCATTTTTAATAAATAGTGGTTGCAATTGGTCTTTTTCTACTCTAAAGTTTATTATTAATTCCTTTGTCTTTTTAACATTTAGTAAGAGGAAGTGGTTATCACACCAATTTGTGACTCGTACATTTACAGCGTCCCTGTATTCATTCTCATTTGTTGTTATAAGGCCTTGTAGAGTGGAATCATCCGCAAATTTTCTTAATTTGATGTCTTTGTTATCAAAAGCACAGTCGTTGGTGTAGGGCGTAAACAAGACAGGGGAGATTACACAACCTTGGGGGCGCACCAGGGTTCGTGAATATAGGGTTGGATTTTACACCATTTAATTTTACATACTGAGGTCGATTGGTTAAGAACTCAAGAACCCAAGCTATAATGTTTTTGTTTATGTTCATATTAATTAATTTTGAAACCATTATGTGGGTTTGGATTGTGCAGATGAAAAATCAGCAAAAAGTATCCTTCAGTAGTTTTTTGGTGTGTCAATATGTTTGTAGATGTTATCTAAGAACACTAATATGGCATCCTCTACGCCCCTCTTGGCACGATAGGCAAATTGCATGAGATCCTGTATGTCTTCTGTTGATTTCTTCAGTTCTTTCACAACCAGTTTTTCTAAACCTTTCATAAGGACTGATGTTAAAGCCACAGGTCGTAGGCCATTCAAATGTTGTCTTTTTCTCTATCCTAGAACATGCTATTTTTATCATAATAATCATCGGTGGCGGGGGTGGGGGTTGTTTATAAATGTAGGTGTTTTTACGCTACCATTGCACGATTATGAACGTTAAGGAGGTGGGCTTCCGATCCTTCCTGCATTACTAACCCGGGCTGAGAAGGAGACAACATCCCAGCAGAAAGATCTAGATATCTGATGAAAACGTTTCCCCACTCCGGAATGGGACTCGCAGGATTATTATGTTATACAGTATTGCACCATATTACATATATTATTGTTAATATTGTTATTGTTATTTCTATATTTATTGTTATTGTTATCATAACTGTTGTTCTATTTTTTCAACTTCCTATTATTATCATATTATAATCATCATCATTGTTACTACTACTACTACTACTACTACTACTACTACTACTACTACTACTACTACTACTACTATTATTATTGAATACGCAGTGGCTACGTTCACGGCGCCGTGAATGCAGTTTGCAGGCGCTGTTGAGGCTACGTTCACGGCACTCAAGCTTCGTTTAGACGGAGCGTCCACTGCCGGTTTTAGTCAGTGACTACAGTGACGTATATTTAATATTTTGGCCAGCTTCAAATGTTCCATCCCATGAGATGAAGGAAAACGAAAAAGCCTGCATGTGAACCGACACAGAGAGAAAATGACGGGAATAATTCTTATCATAACAGCAAACACCCTCTCTCTCTCTCTTTCTGTCTGTCTCTCCCCTTTCTCTTTCCTTCTCTCTTTCCCCCCCCCCCCCTCTTTATTTTTCTCTGTCTTTGTCTGTCTGTCTGTCTCCCCCCTTCTCTCTCCCTTTCTCTTTCTCTCTCTCTCTCTCCCTATCTCTTTCTCTCCCCCCCCCCAACCTTCTCTCTCCCCTTCTCTCTCCCCCCAATCTTCTCTCGCTCTGCCTCTCTCTCTCTCTCTCTCTCTCTCTCTCTCTCTCTCTCTCTCTCTCTCTCTCTCTCTCTCTCTCTCTCTCTCTCTCTCTCTCTCTCTCTGTGTGTGTGTGTGACTCTGTGTGTGTGTGTGTGTGTGTGTGTGTGTGTGTGTGTGTGTGTGTGTGTGTGTGTGTGTGTGTGTGTGTGTGCGCGCGCGCGCGCGCGCGCGCGCGTATTATGTCTTTGGCCCAGAACCAGATATTCATTCTTTCATTCAAACTATTTGCAAGCGTATTTCATATCATGTATGCATTTTTATACAGTAAAGAGATAGGGAAAGTTGATAGCACGGTTATCTTTTTTTTTTTAATTTTGCAATTACGAGACTCGTATATTCAATGCCCTTCAGAGCTTCCAAAACACCAACAACGAAGAGCTGAACAGAAAACGAATGAAGATTGAAAAACAGAGCAGTTGCAAATGCCTCACAAAACCTGGACGTA